TATGTATGTATGTATATATGTGTATATGTATGTATGTATGTATGTATATATGTGTTTATATATATGTATGTATGTATATATGTGTTTATATATATGTATGTATGTATATATGTGTTTATATATATGTATGTATGTATATATGTGTGTTTATATATATGTATGTATGTATATATGTGTATATATATATATGTATATATGTGTATATATATATATGTATATATGTATATACAGGTCATTATTTTCCATAATGTAATGATAAAAATGTAACTTTCCTATATTTCAGATTCATTGCACACCAACTGAAATATTTCAGGTCTTTAATTGTTTTAATACTGATGATTATGGCATACAGCTCATGAAAACCCAAAATGCCTGTCCTAAAAAATTAGCATATCATGAAAAGGTTCTCTAAACAAGCTATTAACCTAACCATCTGAATCAACGACGTAACTCTTTTTAACACCTGCAAAAGATTCCTGAGATTTTTAAAAACTCCCAGCCTTGTTTAATACTCAAAACCGCAATCATGGAGATCAGGAGAAATCAGGAGATTTTGCAGCACTTCATGCTTCCATCTGCTGAAAAGCTTTATGGAGATGAAGATTTCATTTTTCAGCACGACCTGGCACCAGCTCACAGTGCCAAAACCACTGGTAAATGGTTTACTGACCATGGTATTACTGTGCTCACTTGGCCTGCCAACTCTCCTGACCTGAACCCCATAGAGAACCTGTGGGATATTGTGAAGAGAAAGTTGAGAGACGCAAGACCCAACACTGTGGATGAGCTTAAGGCCACTATCGAAGCATCCTGGGCCTCCATAACACCTCAGCAGTGCCACAGGCTGATTGCCTCCATGCCACGCTGCATTGAAGCAGTCATTCATGCAAAAGGATTCCCGACCAAGTATTGAGTGCATAACTGAACATGATTATTTGAAGGTTGGCGTTTTTTGTATTAAAAATACTTGTCTTTCATTGGTGGGATGAAATATGCTAATTTTTTGGGACAGGCATTTTGTGTTTTCATGAGCTGTATGCCATAATCATCAGTATTAAAACAATTAAAGACCTGAAATATTTCAGTTGGTGTGCAATGAATCTGAAATATATGAAAGTTTCATTTTTATCATTACATTATGGAAAATAATGACCTTTATCACAATATGCTAATTTTTTGAGAAGCACCTGTATATATATTGAAAATCATTATATATTATTGGCTTTAAGGCAAGCTTGTGTAAAACAGTAAAAGTTAAGAAAAGAAGCTAATTCATGTGGAACATCATTTCATTTGTTTGCATTAACCACATATGTACATGTAAAAAAAAAGTTGAACAAGTGATATATCTTTTTTTGTGAGTTAGTTTCACACTTCCTTGATGTCAGTAAACCTGCGGACAAGAAAACAACTTTCCTCCAAGTCGTGGTATTGGGGACGAGTTTAGCTGAGTGTCTAGTTGCATTTGCCTCATGTGGTGAGGGCAGTAAATCCAGGAAATCACATTGTAGGATTTTTAAAGAATTTATTTGCAAATTATGGTGGAAAATAAGCATTTGGTCAATAACAAAAGTTCAACTCAATACTTTGTAACATAACCTTAGTTGGCAATGACAGAGGTCAAACGTTTCCTGCAAGTCCAGGTTTGCACACACTGGAGCTGGTATTTTGGCCCATTCCTCCATGCAGATCTCCTCTAGACCAGTGATGTTTTGGGGCTGTCGCTGGGCAACATGGACTTTCAGCTCCCTCCACAAATTTTCTATGGGGTTTAGGTCTGGAGACTGGCTAGGCCACTCCAGGACCTTGAAATATTTAATACAGAGCCACTCCTTCGTTGCTCGATTGATGTGTTTGGGATCATTGTCATGCTGGAAGACCTAGCGACGTTCCATCCTCGGTGTTCTCACTGATGGAAGGAGGTTTTGGCTTAAAATCTCATGATTCAAGGCCCCGTTCACGCTTCCCTTAACACAGATCAGTCGTCCTGTCCCCTTTGCACAAAAACAGCACCAAAGCATGATGTTTCCACCCCCATACTTCATGCCAACAAACTGGTTGATCCACTATGAGAAGGCGCTGTTTATAAGACTGAGTTTGTTTTAGATCCTCAGACTGAAGAAGTCTTTTAAATTAAAGATGAAACATTTCAACAAAGAACTCGTCCAGAGGACCTGACTGTTCAAATGAGTGTTCTGACAGTCTACAGTCTGATTCTGCTGCTTGGATCTGTCTAATTCCTGAGATGTCCTGCTTCACATTTCTTTTGTAAAAGAAAAGGTTTGTTAAAAATGAACAAGTTGTGTCTTCCTGTCTATCTCATCTTTTTGCCACAAAACAAGATCTGTTTTTTAAAAAAGTTGTCAAGCGTTCATTAAAATCCCAAAACTACCTAACTACCCAACTCTTTGTGAACACAGCACAGTTGCAAACCTTTATTTCAGTTAGTATTCCTGTAGTAAAAACACACTGGTAGTTCAGGAAGTATTACCGGTAGCTACTAAAAGTGCTCACTGGGCTGTGAGTAGTTTGTCAGCTTCATTAACAACAGAATCTCCAGAATATTTCACAAGCATTTGCAGATTAAATCTAAATTTAACGTCACAATGAGGAAAGACATGATTGTCTTTTACAGTGTATGTAAACCTCTATTTCTAACTTTCTTTTTGAACTTACAGATGTACTTCTCACTGACTGTAAACACACAATCTAGTAAAACTGCAACAAAAACAAATTTTCTTCTTGCAATTTTGGGTCAGTACCTACCATAGTCTCGAACAGCTGCTTTTAGTTTTAGCAGTTTATAGCTTACCGTAGATTATATGTCAAAACATTGGCATCATAAGCATTTGTAATGTGGGGAGTACACACAGGTGTGGGGGCCTGGCAGATGACTTCGGGGAAACTCTGCATCAAGTTGTTGTAGGTAACCAAGAAAACCTGGAGTGGACTTTTAGTGGTTTAAATATTCTCCTATTAATCAAGTGGAATGGATTTGATCATGAAGAAATGGAAACGGCGCTGGGTGAACTAATATTTCATAGTAAATGTGAGGGGTGTGGGTCCAAACAAATAATTTTTAAATGTGAGGGGGGACACGTCCCTTTCACATATGCAATGTCTAGGTGTCAAAATGTCTCCACTTTTATGTTTTTCCAGTGACTGTCACCCCTCGTGGTTTACGGCTCGTGATTCCGTTTTAGTTGTCAACAAAAATGTCAGTAGCTTTCGTTATCGTTTGAGTCTGTGCAGGAGTTTTGATTTAGTTGTTTCCATCCAGAAAGTGTTATCGATTGATACACTGATTGATGGAACTGATTGATACAAAAAAAAAAAAATCATTCTTGTCAGGAAATTTTCATATTTGGAAAATCTGGTTCCGATAGACACGTTTCCAGTGCCGTTCTTTAAAACACGTTTTGCTGTTTTTGCAGTTTGCTCTGAGGCTGCTGGCCTTTCGTCAGATCCATAAAGTTCTGGGTATGGACGCTCTGCCTCAGACGAACCCCCGCTTCAGCGTTCGTAACAGCCGCAAGCGGCGCCGGGACAACAGCGATGGGACGGACAGTTTCGAGGGCGAAGGCAAAAAGGACAAAAAGGATTATGACAGTTTTTAAGCTTTTTTTCATTTTAATTTAAAAATATTCTACGATGTAGTAAAATGTTCTCTGCCTGTTGATCTGTGTGCTCCTAACCTTTCCTCTGAAGCTTCGGCATAAACTCAAACCCTCAGAACCGACCCGTACCTGTTCAGTTCTGTCGGAAGTCAAGTCATAGGATGTAGACGGACAGGGAGAAGCCACATTCATGTGTTGCATCCAGAGCTTCTGTGTTGTTGATGTTGTAGTGAAACAGGACAGCTGAGCAGTGTTTTATTATTATTAATAATAGTTTAATGTTTAACGCCGTGGTCTTTTTGCGTTTCAGAGCTTAAAGCTAAAACGAGTAATTTCACGTGGACTCTAAGGGTTCTGAGCTATGAATATATCTTAATAAGTTGTGTATTTGTCAGGCCTAAAATATGCGTTTGTTTTTAATAATCAGATTGCATAAGAATATATTTAATGTATATTCAGAGGAAAAAGTTTGATTTAGATCTTTAGCTGTTTTTTGTGGAAGATGTCACATCTAATACTGTTTTAGTTTCTCATTTGTTTCCTACTAAAAGTAAATATCTGCTTGCTTGCCTTTTAATCTTGTTTTATTGCGAATTGAAGTTTAAAACCCTGGAAGTAAGGATACAGACCATGAGTGGGTTAAGGAGGAGCAGGTCCTTTTCGATCCTGAATGTTTGCTTCTGTGTTCCAGTGACAGAATAAACACGTTTCCAGACAGCATCGTGTGGTTTTTGTTTTTATTTTTCACTTGCAGGTTGGTTTCATTTTATCAATTGTGATTGTGTGAATGTTTGTCTCATTTGTCTCTACATCCCTGTGATGGACAGGAGACCTATCCAGGTGTCCCTGTGGTGGACAGATGATCTGTCCATGGTGTCCCACGCCTCTTGCTCAGTGACTGCTGGCACCAGCAACCCCTGTGATCCGAAAATGAAGAAGCGGGTAAAGATGATGGTTGATGGATGGCTGTTTTTTGTTGAGCTCGTATCTCAGCAGTCTTGGTCATGAGATAAATTGGAGGAACGTTTGCCTGGGTATCTACAGTCTGAAGTTGGCTCCTAATGCTTTTTACATCTGTTTAAAGATGGGGAAAACAATTGATTGTCCAGTTTCTGTTCCCAGTTCTTCGGAAAAAAAATACAAACCGGTATCTGAAATCTGTGGCTGCAGTTATCGAAGAGATGAAGGTAGCTGGAGTGAGATGAGTATGACTCGCTGTGAGACTCCCTGGAAAAGGAACAGCCAATCTGAATTTTTGTAAATAAACCTCAAATAATTAAATTCATTGTAGACAATAGTACAGCAAACAACAAATATCAGTTCCAAATACAGTTAAAAACTGATCCAAATCTAGTAAATCCAATTATAATGAAAAACATTAACATAATAAAATGTCGATTGGTAAAAACTGTGTAAGGAAACCAGCAGGTTGTGTTCATGTGTCACTGTCACAGTCTTCATCCTGAGCAGCAGACTGTGGAAAGAACTGACTCCCTTTAAACAGGAAGAAACCTCCAGCAGATCTGGGTTTGACAATCCGGGGCTCGAGTGGACAGGAAAGAGATATGGTGGTCCATGGTCCAAACCATGGTTTCTATGGTGAGAACAACAAGAAAAACATTAACAATAGAAATATTTACAGATACAATTAGAATAGAGCGAGTAAAGCAGTTAAATTTGTCTTCCAGCAGTCAGCCTACAGCAGCGTAACTAAGGGACATGTCAGGAAACTCAAACCAACCCTAACTGTAGGATTTATGAATAAGGAAAGTCTTAAGCCCAGTCTTAAAACTGGACAAGTTGGTTCCACAAGAGAGGAGCCTGATAACTGAAAGATCTTCCTCCCATTCTGCTTTTGGAAACTCTAGGAACCTCAAGTAAACAAAGGGGATAGGGACCTTATGCTGCTATATAATTGGATGTGTGGAGGACATGCTTAACACATTTCTACAGTCTGCTACTGTCTTTACTCTGCTGTTCATGTTTATACAGCCAGCTGTTGAGGGCCAAGATGGTGTCGACTGCACTGTAGAGGCAAGGCAGCTGACCTGGGACAAGGTCGCGGTTCTACTCCCCACCATGCCCACATGTGGTGACTCTGAGCAAGACACCTAATCCCTAATTGCTCCCGAGTGCTTACGTAGCAGCCCACTGCTCCACCTGGGTGTATCAGGTGTGATGGGTTAAATGCAGAGAACTCATTTAATCATTGTATGAGAACAGACATGACAATCTCAGACTTCCCTTCCCTACTGCTGTCATTTACCGTGTTTTCTCTTCCTGCACCTGGACCAGTCATTCTGTTCACGTCCCTCAAAGCTCGGGTGGTTGAGGAAGATGGCTGCTCATCCTGAGCCTGGTTCTGCTGGAGGTTTCTTCCTGTTAAAGAGAGTTGTGCCTTTCCACTGTCGCCTGTGAGCTGCTCAGGATGGGAGACTGTGATGAAGTGAAGACACAATCTGCTGCATTCCTTTGATAATTTCTACAAATTGGCATTTTATAATGTGAATGTTTGGGATTATTATTTTCTCTATTTTTTTTGGAGTTATATTCCAGTTGGGATGGTAAAACTTATTCTTTTGAAACCACTTGTCTCCTGATGGAAAGTTTTATGTTTGGAAATGTTTTGGGGAATGTGAGGATAAAATTGTCATCCATCCAATGGTTTCACCGTCCTGATAGCACTGATCCCAGTGTCACAGCTGCTGCTTCACACACACTGTGTGAGAGACTCCTCAAAGACCCCTGAACTAACTCTTCTTTGTCTTTTGGTTTTTCCCTCTTCAGGGGTCACCACCATGAGTCATCCTTACTTTGATGAACTCACAGTTTTGGCGAGTGTTTTACCTCAGATGCCCTTCCTGACAAAACACTCACCATTTACCCAGGCAAGAGATACACTGCAGCTCTAAAACTCTTTAAATATGAGAACGCAAACATCACTCAGATTGAATTAAGTCACCAGTTTGTGCTTTATCTACTCTAGAGGTGTGTTTGTATGTAGTCGGTATGTATGTATACTTTTTATAATACATTTTACAGAGTCTGAAAACAACTTGTAAATGGATACATTCATTCAAAATTTATTTCTACAGGTTAGTCTCACAGTCATTTACAAGAGGTCTGATTTTAACGAAGAACACAGATGAGGTACAGACACTAGACAATCATATAAAATTAAATGTAAATAGAAGATGTATTAAAAAAACTGAAGAACTACATTATAAAGTGATGTGAAATACTAAATGTGAGATGAACCGATTTCTGTGTGCAGTTTGCATGTTCTCTCCGTGCTCTGTGGGTTTTCTCCAGGTACTCCAGTTTCCTCCCACAGACCAAAAACATGCATGTTAGACTGACTGGTAACTATAAATTGTCCCTAGGTGCCCCTGTGATGGACAGGAGACGTGTCCTCTGCCTCTCAGTGTCTGCCGGACGACCCGCAGCTTGGAAAGGATGAAGTGGGTAAAGAAGGACTGATCGATACGTCCACCAACAGAATTTGATCATGAACACAAACATTGAAAACCTGATGTCAACCCTCGATTAATAAAAACGAGACAACCGTCAGTTTGTTTTAATGAATTGCACATTTATTGATAAGTTTAATGATCCATAAGTGTGTTTGTTTTTGTGGACAAATTTGTGGTTATAGATGTAAGCTGAACAGAACTCTGTGCAAACCACTCAGCAGAAAATGTAGAGTCTATTTTGCAGGTCCTCTTGCAAGATTTTCGTTGGTCTCCGCCGCCTCCTTCAGTTTTTGCATGAGCAGAGCAGTGTGGGAGGAGGCTTTCATTCTCTGAGCATCTGATTCAGATTGGTTCTGCTGGGGATGAAGCAACACACAGGCTGTTAGCTCCTGCATTTAGGTTTCAAAGATTTTATTTCTCTACAAAAATATTTGGGAAACTGCTGTTCAAGATCCAGCAGGAGGGTGGGTGAATGTGAATATCAGCCCATGCTGCAATCCCGACTGATTTAAACATTGTACAGGGCAGATACAACAGAACAACTGGACTGTATGTAAACGTTTTGTGTGAAGTTGCACCTTCACCTCAAGGACCAGAAACTTGAACCTATAGAAACAATAGACCCGAGTTCCGGTCACTTTCACTTGGAGCCTGACGACCCCCACTGTGAGAGGAATGAGCTGCAGGTGACTCGAACTCAAAGATATCTTTATGCATCTTAAACAGATTAAATGCTTGGAGCTCTGCACTCCAGTTACTAGAACTGGGCAGCGAAACATTTTCAACTACAGAATAGGAGTCCAGTCTTCTTTTTGATGAGTCATCAGCAGACAGAGTTTACATCTGGTCTGTGGCTGATTCAGTCTTAGTGCCAACAACAGTTTATTAAGGCCCAACGGTTATCAAACTACTGTTTTCTTTTTACAGGGAGAAACTAGTATTCTAATAGTTTAAATATCTGTAATCTGACAATGAAGCCTCTAGTTTTATGGTATGGTAAAGTCATGAAGGAGGAACGCTGCACATTTCTTTGAAATTTAACAAGATAAACACCTAAAAACAATTATTTGTTAGCTCGAAATTATAGTAAAGGCGTGTCTCAGTTGAACTTTTACTTGATAAAAGGACTTTGCTGGTCAAATCAGCTGCATTTCACCGGGGCGGCGCAGCGAAATAAAACCAATTTGACAGTTGCAAGCAAATTGTGTCATTAATAGTCACTTTTACTTACTACATGACACAACAGCATGCCATACTTATCTGGTGCCATCTAGCGGCTGAAAATGGTAGTGTTCAATATTTTCAGTCAGAATGAATGAAAACGGTCATATCTCAGCCAAAAATTGGTTTATAAATATGGGGAAAAAAAACATAAATATGTTGCTTTGGCATATAAATCGCAGGGCATGCAAATTATGCTAAAAAAACCTGCAACTTAAACTGTGAAAAACTGTAAATGGCACGGTACCTGACGAGGAGATTAACACTGGATCATACAGTTTTTCAATTTTGTTCATTAAGGGATAGACTGCTCTTTGTATTCTTTAGTACTTCTAGTATTTGAAATTTTCTATTCTTTTTATTCCTTTATACATATTACTTGTGTACTTTTGTTACACTGCCTTTTTCTGTTTTTTCTCTTAACGCCAGGTGGTTGACACAGAATATCAAATCTTTATTCTTATTTGCAAAGCAGCAAAAAATGACATTTTTCAAGAGGCAACTGTAAGAATGATGTGCAGTTATGGAAAGCACAGCGGGGCGATGAAATCTGGTTTTCACATGTCTCAGAAAGAACTGCTATTCTGAAAAACTCATTTAATCCACTTTACACTCTGAAGGTGATCCTAAAGGGCATTTCTTTATTTGGTTGTGGACATCAAGGATGCTGTAACTTTGCTAGTTTGTATGGGTATAATTCAAAGTGTAATAATGATATTTTACTTAATTCAGTTTATTTATAAAGCGCCAAGTCACAACAGAAGTCGTCTCAGGGCACTGAACAGAAACATTCATATATAAAAATAATATTTAATATTATTTATCTGAGGAGCAGACTGCTTTGAGTTTAACTCCATCACAGAACTCTCATCTTGAACAAGCATGAAGGCAACAGTGGAAAGGAAAACTCCCTCATGAGGAAGAAACCTTTAGCAGAACCAGGCTCAGGACAAGCGTCCATCTGCTTCGACCGGCTGGGTTTGAGAGGAACAGATACAC